AGTATTTTATAAGATGAGAATCATGAAAACAAAGAAAATTTTACAAGATGGTGGCAAGACTTGCAATGATTTATGATGCCAAATGTTGGCCTTTAAAAGAGAAGCATAAAACAAAGTTAAGTGCGGTTGAGATGAGAATGCTTAGGTGGATGAGTGGCTTGACACTTAGAGATAAAATGCGAAACGAATCTATCCGTGAAAGGCTTGGTGTAGCTCCAGTGGAAGAATATATTAGAGTGAGTTGTCTTAGATGGTTTGGTCACGTTAAACTACGATCATCTGATGATTCGATTCAGAGAGTAGATGTTTTAGATTCGACTTATGTTAAGAAAGCCAAAGGCAGATCTAAAAAGACGTGGGCATATTGTTTAAAAATTAACCTTAATCTATTAGAATCAAATGAATACACTAAACTCAATAAGACACAATGGACAAAAAGGATTAATGCAGCCGACCACACTTAGTGTGATAAAGGCTACTTGCTATTGTTGTAAATCTCTTCTTGTAATAAGTTGAGCTTATTAAGCCTTAAGAAGTCAATTCTTTTAAATTTTCATCAATTTTTTAAAAAAATGTGATTTTGAACAACCTCTCGCAAGGGCACGTGAGTTACAAGTTCAACTTTTCAACTTAATTCCTTCTAGTTTATAAATAATACTATAATTCATTCAAATAATCCATGACTAAATACCTAATCAAGTGATATAATTCAAATGATTACGAACGATTCTTAACCAAGCTTTCTATCAAGCCTTAATTGAGTTAATAGTCTTAATAGAGTTTTATATCTAGCATGATATCACGTCTTAATCCTTATTCACAATGTTGTTTATGATTAAAATGATTTGAGCAATAAGTTGTTCAAGTTTGTTCATTTAACATCGAGCATTATAAAATTTTAAGCTTATTTGATCAGTTAATCAACTGACTATGAATAAGATATTATTTGATTAAGCTACGAGTAGCTCATTAATGCGTAGTTCACATGCAGTCTTATCCAAACTTTGAAAATTCAGATGGCAATGTTTTGGAAGAGGCTTTTAATAAATTGGAAAAAATTGGTTGTAAGAAAAGAAATAAAAGCTCTTGAAAAAATGGAATATGCTAAGTTATTCATAGACCTAAAGATTTCATATTTGTGAGTTGTAAATTGGTCTTTATCATGAAAAATCGGTTTGAAGGATACTTTAAGCGGTATGAAACATGACAGGTTGAAAAAGATTTAGCTAAATTTATGGAATTAATTATTTTGAAACCCATAATCTTTTAGCTAAACTTAATATCATCTGGGTCCTTTTCTCAGCAGCAATCAATCTTCCTGGACTCCCCATTGTTTGAACTAGACGTTGAAATTAAGGCTATAAAAAAAGCTTCTTGTTCACAAACAGTTCATGTTCGGCTCGTTGAGGAGTTTGTGTTCGATTAGTTCGATAAGCAAATGAGACGAACACGAACAATTTATTTTCGTTCGTTTTATAAACAAACAAAACATGAACAGTAATTTTTTCGATCGTGTTCGGATCGTTATTATTCGAAATATAAGATAATTTAAAATAATTATTTATAAAAAATTATCATATTTTAAGAATAATTATATAATCTAAAAATTTGTCATATTTAAAAAAATTAAATCCTATAAATTATAATCTGATATTCAGGTTCGCCTCTTAGGTTATATTAAATTGTATAATTTCGTATTTATCTTCAGGTTCGTTGTTAGCTTAAATTTTCTTATATTTCTTTTAGATGTATTTAGTTTCTTTGAATGAAACCAAGTTTTTGGGAGGGAAATCTCGCATATTGTCTCTAGATCTAAAATTTGTATGGAACATATATGATATTATGGTTTTATTGTGAGCTGTGCTTCGACTATTTTGCATTTATGTTGTGATTCATACAGGTTTAAACATTAATTTCATATAGGTTCAAGCTTTTGAAAGATTTCGAAGAATTTGAACAATTCAAACAATATAAACAATATTAGAAGATTTCAAATAAATTCAAACAATTCGAATAATTCAAACAACTTGAACAATTTGAACATTTAAAACATTTCAAACATATTTCAAATAATTCAAACCGAATACGAACAGTAACTTCACGAATAATTTCAAACACGAGCCTATTTCAAACACACGTAATTTCAAACGAATCGAACACGAACACGAGCTCTGTTAGTTCGTGTTTGGTTCGTTTACGCCCCAAGTTGAAAGTGTATTCTTGAATGATGACTTAAATGACAATGTTTACATGGTTGATAATACAATGATAATGGGGAAATAAGCTTGGCATAAAAATTAAAAAAAATCTCTTTTTAGGCTCCAATAAGCTCCTCTGATTTCAGTTGTTAGGATAGAAATAGTCTTACTCTGATAACGCATTATTCTACAAATGCATGGAAGGTTAGTCTACTATTCTAACTGTATGGATTGTTGATATCATTGTATAGGAGATCATGATTTGGAGGTGAAAAGTTTGCACAAATAATTTGCTGAGGAATTTAATGTAAAAATCTTGGAAATCAAGTTTTTTCTCTGGAATGAAAATCTCTAGAAATAAATTTCATCTTACAATTTGTCAACGAAAATATATTCTAGATCTCTTGAAAAAAATTGGCTCAACTTCAAACAAACTTATTGCCACGTTCATAGATCCTAGACATGAAATTGAATTATGTTAGTTCTAGTAGTCCAATCCATAATGAATGATATCAATATTTGGCTGGAAAACTCATTTGGTTGGCTTATATCAGATCTGACTTAGCTTCTGAATTAGCCTTTGTTATTAGCATGTTAAATCAATTAATGATGTCTCTCATAAAGTACACATGAATGTTTTTATAAGGATATTCAAATACCTAGAAGAAAATTCTGATGTGGAGCTTTTCTTTAAGAGGAAGAATCCAGGATCATAGTAACTTATAGTTTTGCCGATTGGTCTGAGTCTATAATGGATGAAATATCTAATTTAGGATATTATACTTATATTTGGAGTAATCTTGTGTCTTGTAGAAGGTAAGAATAAAATGTTGTGACTAGGAGTAGTGAAGATGTGGAACTAACATCATTGGCCGATGGGATTAGTAAATTAATATTGTTCATGCAAGAGCTTCATGTAACTATCAAAACTAATATGATAGCATATCATGACAGTAAACCTGCCAATAACTTACCCATCATGATCCGATCAAAAGATATAAAGGTGAATTGGAAAATTCATAAAATAATAATAATAATCATAATAATAAAATGGACAACTGTGTATCTATATATTCTCTCCTTGATCGAACTGTCAGTGTCCTAACCAAGGGAGTGGTTAGACCTCTCTTTGAAAACAACTTTTGAAAAGGCCTTCCCCTCCCTTTATGGTATGACATCTTGTGGTTGTTGGGCAGCAGATATTCAATGGTATTGCAGTTGGTAGCAATTGTCCCTAGATGGATGGGAGCTGTGATAATAAATGGGTTCCTGTATGCTGTTTCTCAAGAAAGAATGATAGCCCACATAATTCTGAGGTGGAGGATGTGATCGCTGCTTTATTGGAAGGCAATAATCCATCGATTGCTGTTGTGGATTCAACAATTTCTTTAAATGAAAAAATGACTGCAAAATAGCCTTTTTTTAGTACTAGGGTATAATTTTTTCTTCCATGTTTTTTCTTATTGAAAACTCTTAATTAGAGGCCAGATTTCGGCTAATAAAGGATGTCGGGTATTCGACTTTCTTTTCTCTGTCCTACTTCTTTCCTGTCTACGCAGAGACCGTCAAAAGCCAGATTACAAAGGATCACTTCTAAATGATTAAAGCATTGGTATGGAATACTAGGGGAATTTTTAATTTAGTAGATTGGAGGAGACTTGGGAAAATTGTACGTATGAATCAAGAAAAATGTCAAAATAATCCTGAACTATCTATGAGGGCCATTTTAATTCCAGACTATCTAATGTATCTAATTTATTTCATTACCTGTTTAATTCTAATCCATAATAGTTTATTGATTTCTCAAAGTTAATCTAAATAATCCAACCAGAGGGACTGCTTTGGATCATATTTGAGAAGTTGAGGGACTAAATTAAATACATTTGATTGCTTAAACTAAATTGGCCTCATGTAAATAACCTTAAGATCATTTAAGTCTCTTTTTTATATGAATAAGCTTCAAATATTTGTGGTGTTGGGCCCTTGGCTCAGCAAATAAAATTATAGTTCCTTGGCAGATTTTTAGGTTTTCATGATAGGTTGCCAAAATGCTCAAATAAATTTGGATGTCCTAAGATAATTAAAATTTATATTATTTATATAAGTTAATTTTGAATATCATTGCCGCCTGTTTGTATGGTTGCCAATGCTTAGTTTTTTAAGAGTGCTGAGAAGGAACCTATGACATTAATTAAGCCATTTTTTTAGATTCCATTACAGGACTTTGGTCAGTTGCAAGGGATTTCAATTGTATTCTGTATTCCCATGAAAGGTAAGGGGTATGTGAACTCAACTTCAATGCTATGCAGAAATTCGCTTATAGTAGACTAATAAGAGGATTACTGGGTAACAATTTAACTGGACAAATGTAAAAGTTTGCGAATGACATGATCAATTGCTTTATTATTCTCATTGGATTGAGATATTTAAATTTACACAAGTTACTTATATCAGCACAGCACATCTAATAATGGCCTCCCTGCTTGTTGAGATTTCTAAATCTACTTTTTCTAATCCAATTTCCTCTGGGTTTCAGACAACGAACTGAACATTAATGAAAAATTTAGTTTTCTTGCAAGAGCAGATTAATCACATGTTTTACTGTTTTTCTTCCATTGACAATAGCTTCTTTATCACTTTCTCAGCATTTACATTTGATCTGGATTGCTGGTGATATCGAAATTTTCTAGTTCTTCAAATTACTGACCACTAAATGATTAAACATTATCTATTATTGCAAAACTAGCCCGCTTTCCAAAAGAATTATCGTGGTTGAGAAACCAAGGTTGTCTGTTGAAACAGGTTAGCTGCAAGATTATGAATTTGCGGTCTGGGGCGGAGCTTCCGGAGAAATGTCGAGAGCTTGCCATGCATTTTGAGTCACAAGGAACTCCTGTGATGATAGGTATGTAGTGTTTGCCTTCTCTTTTAAGGCATCGAAGAACCACAAAGTTTTTTTTGTACTCTCTCTCTCTCTCTCTGTGATAATATAATATTCTATTTATACAATTATTAATTGCAAGCATGATTTTACAGGTGGAGGTGTTCTTGCTTATACGTTGTTGGGAGTTGACTACAATGAAGCTAATGGGGATTGCGCCTTTCTTATCTTAGACCCACACTACACAGGAAATGACGATATAAAGAAAATTGTAAATGGTGGTTGGTGTGGGTGGAAGAAGGCCGTTGATAGCAAGGGGAGGAGTTTCTTCTTGAAGGATAAGTTCTACAATCTTCTGCTACCCCAACGGCCTTACATGGTTTGAAGCATTCAAAATTACACCATGCTGATAACACTGATGAAGATGGTAGCCATTTCAGACCACTTTTATCATTTGTCTTTCATTCTATTTTATTTTTATTTTATCTATGTTTTCATTTAAATTAAAACATATTGTTTTTAAAAGCACAAATATATCTTTTAGTTGTTTTTAGTGTTTTAAAAAACAGTTGATATGTTTTTAAAAATTAAATATTAAAAAAATATAAAAATGTATCAACCAAACATGTTTCTAAAAGCAAATGTAGGAAACAAAAGTGATGCGAAGGTGCGTCTAACTATTATTACATCTGATTTCATTTTTTATAAGTTGTATGTACTCTCTCTGAAACCATGTTGCCAAATTTTGCAGATATGCTGATTCCAGTAATATAAATGGTTGAATTTAAACTTTCATCTGGTAAGCTTTTTTTGGCAATGAATAATGTCTGTTCTTTTTCTCAATCTGGTAGAAATTGAAAGCTAATTGAAGCAGTTCAGGTGAGGCAAGGCTGGGGCATGCTATGTATGTTGTAATGGATGCAAAGACCATATTCATTATGGTGCAAATGCAAATCAATACGAGATTGTGGGTGCATTTGGAGATAATTGATAGAATAAAATATTTTGTTGTGAATGATTATAAAAATATGATGAGCCTTCTTATTTATGAATGGGGAAATAATGTAATTATGATATTATGGTGAATAACGGTTCTCAAAGGCAGGCAAACCGGGACAGATTTCAGACTGGCTCTAGATTGAACTGAACTCGAATGCAAAGATGAAATTTTTAAAACGAAAGGAGCATGAACAAAATTAAATAAATATTTAAGGGGAGCTTGAACGCTCCTATTGGGGGCGTTTTATGTGAAAAAAATAAGCTGAAGCATAAAGCGCTCTCCTTGAGGACATTTTCATTAAAATAGTATAAAAAAATAATTGATGATATATAATTATAATATTTTATATAATTTAAGTTTTAACATATATTACCTAATGTTTTAAATAAATTATAATTTTTTATCATAGTAAATAAAATTTAAATAATTTTAAATTAATAAAAAGTATATATGAACAAAATGAACTAACAATAAATGAAATTCGCAAAATTTATTTCATATTAATATATCATTGTAATGTCATGTTACAAAATGATATTATCTTTTGCACTAGGGTGGAATGACACCCAAGCTCAGTGGACATCGATGCGATGGTTGTGGTGGTTGATTTCGTAATTGATAGCCTTGAAATTTTTCAACATCATTGTCTTCAACTGCGTGATTCATAACGCGGCGTGTCGTCCACTAATTTTAGTCATTCATGAGATATGGTGGTGTATAAGGTTGAGATGCATAAAAATTTAGGTCTCCATCAGAAGTATGCGCGGACATGGGAATGTTCTTAAAATTTAAATTCATGTTTTTACCAATAGAAGCTGTCCACTGTAAGCATATGATAATCCTCATATGTCAGTGGTCCCGCGTGGCTTGAGGGTTCTGAAAATATTGATTGAACAACATAAGCATAAGCAGATGATTTTGGATATGGTTGTTTGTGGGACTCATTTATGGTAGATTCACATGTTTTGATAATTGAAGATCTTCTTGGAGCCTCTGCTATTGATCGTCTCGTAGAAGTGGAAGACGTGGAGCATCAGAAGTTGATCTGCGGGAGTCATGCGTCTGACATCTGTTTTATGAGATCGCCCCACTTAGAAATCATGCCCAATTGTTCAATCAAATGCAATATAATCAATATGGATTGATTGTTTCACTTTGCATGATAGCTCCAGTATCTCATCATACCCCTGTTTTATGGAGTTAGCACTTCCGCCATGATCCCCTCCAAATATTTTTGTGATGTCTTCATTATGAATGAAGTAATCCATTTGTATAATTGAAAAAATTAATTTATTATTATGTATCATAATAAATTAAATTAGTAGAAGTTAAAAAATATATTAAAAACATTCCACTATTCTCTCTCCTGGTGATAGGGGTAGTAGGAGAGTAGGAGACTTTACTAAATAGAGTGATGCCTAAGATTGATATTATGGTAAATAATGAGCCAGCTCTTCTTCCTTGTCTCCTCTCAAAGGGTTTAATGATATTATATACGCCCGAAGATTATTTCATTTCTCGATATAATTATGGTGATCTTGTACCCAATCAACTCATACTTAACCTCACACACTGGCTCTTTTTAAATCTCATTCCATGGGTTCAATCACTATACTAGAAAACTGTCGCATAACACGATCTGAAAGGTGCCCCATGACACACTTTCAGGTTATTAGTGGAATACTAGTAGTCCAAATATCTATGTTCTAAAAAGATATGTTATATAACATATATATACATACATACACATACACAAACACATGCACACACGCACGCTTACGCTCTAGTTCACACACACAAACACACACAATTTATCAAGTTATAAATTTAATCATATTTAATATAAAGATATTACAAAATATGGGAGTAAAAATAAAATGAGTATTTCCATCAAGTTTATCTCTATACATTTTAAAATTTCCAGCTGGCACTTGGCGTATCCACTTTTCATTCCATCTACATGTTATTTAAATAAATGAGATGAATCTAATTAAAAAAGTTGTGTGTGTATATATAAATGTAGAAACTAATTTTGTACTTGAATGCGAGTAATTTGCTTGATAATTCATGGACATTCAGGACATAAAGAGTGGGCTTACCAACATGCGAGTGCTCCCAGCACACTTGAAGCAAGTACAAACACCCATTAATCGTGACAAGGGTAGGCATAGTTGATAAATTTAATTATCTTAAGAGCTGTGTCAGCACCGTTCTGCCTAAAGAATATCTTCCAAATTCCTCCATATTCTCCAATAATGTTATATATTCTAAGTGAACATGTGATCCGATGGTATCTAAAATTAGAAAACATCCTAATTTGCACATAATATAAGCCCTACCATCCCTTAAAATATGATATGTATGTAAATCCTCATTAGACTCCTGTAAAATTGTCAATGGAGCCAAAGCGGTAGGATAGTTTGCGATCGGGAGTGTCTCTTAAAGAAGGTTGATGTTATGTTATGGTTTATAAGATGGTGGTAGATAACATCTTCCCTGAGGTGGTCACCTAACAACTCGTCGAAACATGCTGGCCAGTTCGTTTAGCGCTGTCGGCACTATTTCGGGTTGGTTTGTGGGGAGTTGCCCGTAATAAGCTGTCGGTCATCAGAATCGAAATCCCGTCGCCCGCTTTGGAAGGACGTTGAAGTATGAAATCAAACTGACCCCATATTTTTCATAGTTTAAAATGAAAGAGCACTGTACCTCAAATCCTGTATCTATCCCGAAGGATAAATACAAGACTTGAGGATGAGGCTCGATCAAATAAACTAAGGAAATTATGACGTCCGTTTGGTCTACGAAACTTTTTTATTTGCCGACAAGTTCCCATATTTAATATAAAAGATTAAATAGGGTTTATATTAAGTTGGGTTCGGACATACTTCCTATAAGGGCAAGCTCCTATAGTTAATTACATATTAAATGACCAAAGTCACCTAAGAAGACTCTCGATAAAAATCAAGAAAAATTATCTTCAAGGAATTTCAAAGGGTAGGAATCTTTAACGAAATCGGACATGGAGGTGTGCAAAGGGGATTGGTTCAAATTTGAAACATTTTTTTATTGTAGAATCCAAAGGAAGAAAGACTAGGGGATGTCATGGATCTAGAGGAGAGCCTCGGTGACTTCCCAAGCTATCCTAATATTTGGCTTCAGTTTTGAGGAGAAATATTTGGGTGTTTCTTCCTGCCAATTTTATTAGTTAGGGTTTACATTTGTGTGAAATGATCACACAAAAAGCCTGGAAGATGTGAGGATTTAGATCGTGACAAACGACAACCTCGGAATCCTAAGACGAGTTAGGGCTTATATTATATAGCCGGGCTATGCAAAGGCCTAAAGATAAGGTGAGGATTTACTTTGCATAAGCAAACAACATCAAAGTCCTATGGCTTTGTTGTTTAAGTCTAAGGAAGGAAGATTGGTTTAGTTGGGGAAGAAAGATTTTGCTGTTGAAGATGACCGTGCTGCCCACCAAACTAGCTCCAAGCTCCTTGCCGGGAAGAGTTTGAGTTATCTAGCGTGTCAAGTTATAATGTCAAATCAGGTGGACCTATGGTTGAAGTTCTTTAAATTTCATGAGGGCATATTAAAGTTGATTAGAGTGATACCGGTTAGGATCCTACGGTTCCCTCGTTCCAGCATCACTACTTTCTATTGGATTCACTTAGTCCAAATGAACTTACTAAACCCAACTTAATGAGTTCCATAATTTCATTTAAACCGAGGGAAGCCTCGTTAGCAACCGTAGGTTACCTCGTCCGAGGGATTCCCAATCACACAATAGGGACGTCTTAATTTAGTTGAAGTTGTGGTTTTGTGTGATGTTTGTGATTAAATTTTGAGTTGTTTTATATTTTGCATGTTGTGGCGGTGAATTTTATCTTGGTTGATTTTTA